TTTTCAGACATTGTTAGTGTTCACCTCAGACATTGTTAGTGTTCACCTCAGACATTGTTAGTGTTCACTTCAGACATTGTTAGTGCTCAATTCAGACATTGTTAGTGCTTACTTCAGACATTGTTAGGGGTCACTTCAGACATTGTTAGTGCTCACTTCAGACATTGTTAGTGCTCACTTCAGACATTGTAAGGGCTCTCTTTAGAACAATTTTGGGCATGTTTAAATCAGCTTAATATTTGAAGCTCTCGATCCCCATCACCTTCCAACCTAACTCAGTTTTTACAAAGCTGAACTTTATTCCTTAACTAAAGTGTGACATGTTGTATTTTTTTTGTGAATGGTCGCCACCTTAAACTGACCATCATGATATCATTTCCTGTTGACAGTGACCAGAGCTTAGACAGGAGGGTCAAGCCATTAGATCTGGACAAGTCACATTCCACTGAACAGAGTCAAGTCTCGAGGACAGCGGTCAAGAAAACCTGGACACCAACATCTCCCGCCGGGAATGATCCACCAACCAACGGGTTCACTGGACCAGATAACAACAGTGATGTAAGTAAACCATTAGGCACCTGATAATCTGGACACCTCCAGTCAAGTCCTCGGGTCATAAGGCACCTGATTATCTGGACACCTCCAGTCAAGTCCTCGGGTCATAAGGCGCCTGATTATCTGGACACCCCCAGTCAAGTCCTCGGGTCATAAGGCCCCTGATGATCTGCACACCTCCAGTCAAGTCCGCGGGTCATAAGGCACCTGATTATCTGGACACCTCCAGTCAAGTCCTCGGGCCATCCGGTCTACTTAATTCCTGCATGTTTTCATATATTTATGATTATTTTTTATTATCCATGCTGTGTGCTGGGATTGTTTTTTGTTTGGTACAATTCTATTAATAGTGTCGTATGTCGGGGTACATATAGTCCTGCTGGCAGAACACAGAGTATTACAGTGTAGTGTGTGAATGGAGCTGGTGTAGTGTGTAAATGGAGCTGGTGTAGTGTGTGAATGGAGCTGGTGTAGTGTGTGAATGGAGCTGGTGTAGTGTGTGAATGGAGCTGGTGTAGTGTGTGAATGGAGCTGGTGTAGTGTGTGAATGGAGCTGGTGTAGTGTGTGAATGGAGCTGGTGTAGTGTGTGAATGGAGCTGGTGTAGTGTGTGAATGGAGCTGGTGTAGTGTGTGAATGGAGCTGGTGTAGTGTGTGAATGGAGCTGGTGTAGTGTGTGAATGGAGCTGGTGTAGTGTGTGAATGGAGCTGGTGTAGTGTGTGAATGGAGCTGGTGTAGTGTGTGAATGGAGCTGGTGTAGTGTGTGAATGGAGCTGGTGTAGTGTGTGAATGGAGCTGGTGTAGTGTGTGAATGGAGCTGGTGTAGTGTGTGAATGGAGCTGGTGTAGTGTGTGAATGGAGCTGGTGTAGTGTGTGAATGGAGCTGGTGTAGTGTGTGAATGGAGCTGGTGTAGTGTGTGAATGGAGCTGGTGTAGTGTGTGAATGGAGCTGGTGTAGTGTGTGAATGGAGCTGGTGTAGTGTGTGAATGGAGCTGGTGTAGTGTGTGAATGGAGCTGGTGTAGTGTGTGAATGGAGCTGGTGTAGTGTGTGAATGGAGCTGGTGTAGTGTGTGAATGGAGCTGGTGTAGTGTGTGAATGGAGCTGGTGTAGTGTGTGAATGGAGCTGGTGTAGTGTGTGAATGGAGCTGGTGTAGTGTGTGAATGGAGCTGGTGTAGTGTGTGAATGGAGCTGGTGTAGTGTGTGAATGGAGCTGGTGTAGTGTGTGAATGGAGCTGGTGTAGTGTGTGAATGGAGCTGGTGTAGTGTGTGAATGGAGCTGGTGTAGTGTGTGAATGGAGCTGGTGTAGTGTGTGAATGGAGCTGGTGTAGTGTGTGAATGGAGCTGGTGTAGTGTGTGAATGGAGCTGGTGTAGTGTGTGAATGGAGCTGGTGTAGTGTGTGAATGGAGCTGGTGTAGTGTGTGAATGGAGCTGGTGTAGTGTGTGAATGGAGCTGGTGTAGTGTGTGAATGGAGCTGGTGTAGTGTGTGAATGGAGCTGGTGTAGTGTGTGAATGGAGCTGGTGTAGTGTGTGAATGGAGCTGGTGTAGTGTGTGAATGGAGCTGGTGTAGTGTGTGAATGGAGCTGGTGTAGTGTGTGAATGGAGCTGGTGTAGTGTGTGAATGGAGCTGGTGTAGTGTGTGAATGGAGCTGGTGTAGTGTGTGAATGGAGCTGGTGTAGTGTGTGAATGGAGCTGGTGTAGTGTGTGAATGGAGCTGGTGTAGTGTGTGAATGGAGCTGGTGTAGTGTGTGAATGGAGCTGGTGTAGTGTGTGAATGGAGCTGGTGTAGTGTGTGAATGGAGCTGGTGTAGTGTGTGAATGGAGCTGGTGTAGTGTGTGAATGGAGCTGGTGTAGTGTGTGAATGGAGCTGGTGTAGTGTGTGAATGGAGCTGGTGTAGTGTGTGAATGGAGCTGGTGTAGTGTGTGAATGGAGCTGGTGTAGTGTGTGAATGGAGCTGGTGTAGTGTGTGAATGGAGCTGGTGTAGTGTGTGAATGGAGCTGGTGTAGTGTGTGAATGGAGCTGGTGTAGTGTGTGAATGGAGCTGGTGTAGTGTGTGAATGGAGCTGGTGTAGTGTGTGAATGGAGCTGGTGTAGTGTGTGAATGGAGCTGGTGTAGTGTGTGAATGGAGCTGGTGTAGTGTGTGAATGGAGCTGGTGTAGTGTGTGAATGGAGCTGGTGTAGTGTGTGAATGGAGCTGGTGTAGTGTGTGAATGGAGCTGGTGTAGTGTGTGAATGGAGCTGGTGTAGTGTGTGAATGGAGCTGGTGTAGTGTGTGAATGGAGCTGGTGTAGTGTGTGAATGGAGCTGGTGTAGTGTGTGAATGGAGCTGGTGTAGTGTGTGAATGGAGCTGGTGTAGTGTGTGAATGGAGCTGGTGTAGTGTGTGAATGGAGCTGGTGTAGTGTGTGAATGGAGCTGGTGTAGTGTGTGAATGGAGCTGGTGTAGTGTGTGAATGGAGCTGGTGTAGTGTGTGAATGGAGCTGGTGTAGTGTGTGAATGGAGCTGGTGTAGTGTGTGAATGGAGCTGGTGTAGTGTGTGAATGGAGCTGGTGTAGTGTGTGAATGGAGCTGGTGTAGTGTGTGAATGGAGCTGGTGTAGTGTGTGAATGGAGCTGGTGTAGTGTGTGAATGGAGCTGGTGTAGTGTGTGAATGGAGCTGGTGTAGTGTGTGAATGGAGCTGGTGTAGTGTGTGAATGGAGCTGGTGTAGTGTGTGAATGGAGCTGGTGTAGTGTGTGAATGGAGCTGGTGTAGTGTGTGAATGGAGCTGGTGTAGTGTGTGAATGGAGCTGGTGTAGTGTGTGAATGGAGCTGGTGTAGTGTGTGAATGGAGCTGGTGTAGTGTGTGAATGGAGCTGGTGTAGTGTGTGAATGGAGCTGGTGTAGTGTGTGAATGGAGCTGGTGTAGTGTGTGAATGGAGCTGGTGTAGTGTGTGAATGGAGCTGGTGTAGTGTGTGGATGGAGCTGGTGTAGTGTGTGAATGGAGCTGGTGTAGTGTGTGAATGGAGCTGGTGTAGTGTGTGAATGGAGCTGGTGTAGTGTGTGAATGGAGCTGGTGTAGTGTGTGAATGGAGCTGGTGTAGTGTGTGAATGGAGCTGGTGTAGTGTGTGAATGGAGCTGGTGTAGTGTGTGAATGGAGCTGGTGTAGTGTGTGAATGGAGCTGGTGTAGTGTGTGAATGGAGCTGGTGTAGTGTGTGAATGGAGCTGGTGTAGTGTGTGAATGGAGCTGGTGTAGTGTGTGAATGGAGCTGGTGTAGTGTGTGAATGGAGCTGGTGTAGTGTGTGAATGGAGCTGGTGTAGTGTGTGAATGGAGCTGGTGTAGTGTGTGAATGGAGCTGGTGTAGTGTGTGAATGGAGCTGGTGTAGTGTGTGAATGGAGCTGGTGTAGTGTGTGAATGGAGCTGGTGTAGTGTGTGAATGGAGCTGGTGTAGTGTGTGAATGGAGCTGGTGTAGTGTGTGAATGGAGCTGGTGTAGTGTGTGAATGGAGCTGGTGTAGTGTGTGAATGGAGCTGGTGTAGTGTGTGAATGGAGCTGGTGTAGTGTGTGAATGGAGCTGGTGTAGTGTGTGAATGGAGCTGGTGTAGTGTGTGAATGGAGCTGGTGTAGTGTGTGAATGGAGCTGGTGTAGTGTGTGGATGGAGCTGGTGTAGTGTGTGAATGGAGCTGGTGTAGTGTGTGGATGGAGCTGGTGTAGTGTGTGAATGGAGCTGGTGTAGTGTGTGGATGGAGCTGGTGTAGTGTGTGGATGGAGCTGGTGTAGTGTGTAAGTTGATGGGAGACAGTGGTTAATATTTTTTTGAAATGTGTTACTACTGACAGAACACGCCAAATCAGAGGAACATTGGAGTAAGCACTTTGAAGGAACTTTAGTCCTATCTGTATTTACCACTAATTTTTTTTTTTGTGGAATAAAGATGGTTCTCTGCGTTCAAATGTAACAATACCAGGCTGAGGGGTAAAGCCTTGCTAGTCTGACAATGTTACTACTGGTCTTTTAAAACCTGTGTCATTAGTCTTTCTAGATAACTAGGTTTGTCTCTATTTCATAAACAATAAAACTGGTCTATCTGGTTGAATTGGTTACATAAAAGCAGCCCTGTTGAATGTTGGAGATTGTCAATTTTCTCTCAAATGCATGATTTGTAAGATTTTTCCTTTTCTTTGATTGTCTTATCTGTTATTTTAGATGTCAACAAATTCATCAAAACAAGATTGGGGACCAAACATTAATTCCTCCTCAAATCACAGCAATCATAATTGTCCCCCTTTAATGAAACATTTGAACAATAAGCCCTCCCCCAGCACACAGTCTGTGGATCTGTTACTAGGATACAAGCCTCAACTGCCAGAGGACCAGCATCATGTAAGTCTGGGAATGTATCCGCATGGTGACTAACCCATCAAACTAATTATAATTCAACATATTAACCAATCAGATTAGAGCTATCCACTACTGTATACACTAGAACTGTCATCTTCTATAGAGACTTCACTTCAACTCAATTTCTGATTATAACTAATCTTTTGACTTTAGCTTTCAAAAATCTCTGCTTTTTGGTTAATTATGTAAACCCAATATGATAAATGCATTCAATGATAAATTTCATAAATGTGTTCAGATAAATGTGCTGACCCCATATTATGTGAGAACTGACTCAACATCACTGTTAAAATTTAATACAATATTATTGAAGGAGAGCTAGTTTGACTAGGAACCCTTAACTCATTGCTGCCATCATGTGTTAACCTCCTTAGTAGTGGAAATGATTTAGGGGGGACACTAACAAAATGCATACCATTCTTTGATTGGATTTTCAACATTCTTTTCCCATGAAATCGCAGTAATTTGTAGGTTTGACGCAATGTAATGAAAATTTACATGAATGGTTCCTTGTTTCTTTGTGCGTGAGTTATTTCACCCACACTCTACATGGTCAGTACTAAGGTGCATACATACATAAAGTGTTTGTCTGAAGACTGAACAACAGTAGCACAGACTCGCACACCATAAAAGCAAACAAGGCCTCTCAAAAATTGTTCAAAGACTATAGTCTCTCAGAGAAAAACATTTTGTCAAGATTGTGATCTTTGAATTGCCAAATTCTATATGTACATTTCACCTGCAAAATCCTCTTTAAGCACTACCATAAGACATTACGTTCATAGCACTATGAATGCAGTTAGATCAGCATCCTTTTGAAGCTTCTCCTCTCACCTCAAATAACATGGGACAACCCTTAGAAGCAAACACTTTGGTGACGTTAGTCCATTACAGGAATCTCCTTTGCTTTGAACAGAAACACTTCAATATTGACAGGGAATATCTGTATTTTGGTCAATAATATCTATAGGATTTTAATGTAAAGATAAGGACCGAATGGCATTTTAGCATTCATACCAGCTTGAAATTGAATATACAATCCCATTCAATCATTATGTTGACTTAAGGAAAAAGAAAGTATTACAATGCTAAATAAGGTCTTTTTGTGCTGTTTTATGATGATGTGATTAAACAGAATTTTAATCCAATACAGTACAAGGCACAGACTACACTGTAGTATGAACGAAGTAGACAGGTCTTTATTTTCCTGAGTAACGTTATTATTTCTTTACTCCACATGAGATATTTGACAAAATCAACCTCCTTTCTTAGATCCAGTTATCAAAATTTCTCAGATTTTTCTTAATGATATTAACTTCAAGATCTGAACATCCCCAAAATTAGTTTGCAATTCATCAAATATTTCATTTCTGTACTCCTAGCCAATTAAGAAATCAGCCTACTGATTTATTTGTAATGACAATCTCTCACCTGTTTGGTAGTGTATTATCTCCCATCATAATTAACCTGAGTTAGACATTACTCTCTACTGCAGTGTGGCAGATTTTAATTGTACATAGGATTACAGTCGCCTTCTAGCTTCAGTGGTAGAGCGTTGGACTAGGAACCTGGAGATCAGGGTTCGATCCCCGATGGAAGCACATCGCTCTCTTTCCTGTTACAAATGGTGACCGTGGCCCTCCCTGTGGTGACAGGGAGTAATAGAACCTGGGATGTAGTGGTGTTTCAAGACAAACATAAAAAGGGGGGAGTAGTGTGGCAGATTTTAATTGTACATATGATTATAGTCACCTTCTTGTTTCTACGGTAAACATGTTTTATGTAGAGATTGTCAGATCCTGTTTCTACAGTTGGTGAGGATGGTGATTTTTATATTCAGTTAAACTAAAATATATTTGGATATTAAAAATAAACTGGATGTGATCATTGTTTTATACCAGGATTTGATAGATAATTAAAGTCTGCACTGCATCTTAATAGTGTGATTCTTACAAGGTGCAATCTGTATTATCCAACACAAACACAACTGACACATCTGGTGAGATTACAAACTAAGGTTTTATATATAATGTTGCACATATTGTGATATGGTGAGCATATGGGTTGATTCTGAGGAAACTTGGGTGGGTTGATTCTGAGGAAACTTTGATGGGTTGATTCTGAGGAAACTTTGATGTGTATATATTGCCCCCCTGCAGTACTCTTGTTGTTATCAATACTACAGACAACCCTGTGTACCAGATATGTGTGTTGGATAAGACAGGTTTCACCCTGACCTTATCTCTGTGTTATCTTGTCTAGTTCATTTTAACTTTATTTTAACTTTACTTTATCCTTTTTTCCCCATTATGATACTGTCCTGTTTTCCGGTGAAACAAACAAACTTTCATCCAAAGGATTCCATGAAACATGCAGTTGATTTAATGCAGATTTTAATAATAAATATAACTTAACACAAAGGCATCCCACAAGAAACTGCATTTAATCTGATGCAGAGAAATGTCCTGTAATTTTGGACGGACACAGAAAAAAATTCACATGAGAGATAAATATACTGGAACCAATTTATTGCAATTTTAAATGTTTTTTTTCTGTTAGAGTTTCCATGATTGTACAGGATTTTGTCATCATCAGCAGCGGTATCATGATTTTGGTGGATGTTTGTTAGCACCTTCAAACAGTAACACTATTGTAGCACAATAAGTTTATCATTACTCTATGTAGTTGTTGTCTTTACTTTGTAGTTTTTGTATCAATGTGAAACAGAAAACTTCAGCTCCACTAAATATTTGTATTTTGAACAGATCTGATCTGAATTTACTGAGCCTATAGGAATTTGTATTGATACTGATTACCAGTCATTCTTCAGCAGTTTGAAATGTTCTCCTGTCTCCTGGAGAAATGGAGCCATTTTCCTGTTTTACATTGCTTCCCGACTTTTCTACATGTATATCATATGTTAGTCTTGCTTTGCCGTCCTTATTCTACATGTACTCAGTTCTTGCTTGTGTATATACCTGTCGCCATGGTGATCTTATTCTTGTAGAAAGTTCACATCAAGAAAGTATGGGCTTCCTCTCCGAGCCCTAACACTTTACCCACAATGCACCTGTGGCAGGAAGTGTCATTGAATGAATCTGAGGTAGGTTATAATGTACTAATTGATGTGAACAGTAAGTTTACGATTGTGTGGCGTTCATAGTTTCAGAAAGCGTGCCTTGAATGCTGGGTGACATTTCCTTGTGTGAGATCAGTTGGCATGCAGTACCATTTATTTGTTAGAAGATTGATTAGATTAGATGTATTTTGCTTCATTTTTAGCTCACCTGGCCCGAAGGGCCAAGTGAGCTTATGGCATGGGGCGGCGTCCGTCGTCAACTTTTTACTTTAAACAACTTCTTCTCCTTAACCAAAAGGCCTGCGGTGATGATATTTTGCCAGAAGCATGCTGGGATGAAGGGCTACCAAGTTTGTTCAAATATTTGACCTTGACTTATATTCAAGGTCACAGGGGTCAAATACATTAAAATCTTTAAGCAACTTCTTCTGAATAACCAATAGGCCTAGGGTGTTGATTTTTTGCCAGTAACATGCTGGGATGAAGATCCACCAAGTTTGTTCAAATAAATGAACTTCATTTATTTTCAAGGTCACAGGGGTCAATTATGTTTTTAACCTTTAAACAACTTCTCCTGCATAACCAAGAGGCACAGGGGGATGATAGTTGGCCAGTAACATGCTGAAGTGAACGGCTACCAAGTTGATTCAAATAAATGACCTTGACTTATATTCAAGGTCACAGGGGTCAATTATGTTTTTAACCTTTAAACAACTTCTCCTGAATAACCAAGAGGCACAGGGTGATGATAGTTGGCCAGTAACATGCTGAAGTGAAGGGCTACCAAGTTTATTCAAATAAATGACCTTGATTTATATTCAAGGTCATTGGGGTCAAACATGTTTAAAACCTTTAAGCAACTTCTTCTGAATAACCAAGAGGCCTAGGGTGATGATTTTTAGCCAGTTACATGCTGGGATGAAGGGCTACCAACTTTGTTCAAACGAATGACCTTGAATCATATTCAAGGTCACTGGGGTCAAATATGTTAAATCATTTAGACAACTTCTTCTGAATAACTAAGAGGCCTAGAGTGATGATATTTGGCCAGTAACATGCTTAGATGAAGGGCAACCAAGTTTGTTCAAATAAATGACCTTGACTTATATTCAAAGTCACAGGGGTCAAATATGTTTAAAACCTTTCAACAACTTCTTCTGAATAACCAATAGGCCTAGGGTGATGATATTTGGCCAGAAGCATGCTGAGATGGAGGGCTACCAAGTGTGTTCAAATAAATGACCTTGACCTATATTCAAGGTTACAGGGGTCAAATATGTTTAAAACCTTTCAACAACTTCTTCTGAATAACTAAGAGGCACATGGTGATGATATTTGGCCAGAAGCATGCTGGGATGAAGGGCTACCATGTTTGTTCAAATAAATGACCTTGACTTATATTCAAGGTCACAGGGGTCAAATATGTTTAAAACCTTTCAACAACTTCTTCTGAATAACCGATAGGCCTAGGGTNTTTCGACTCGTAGGTCAGACCACGGAATTAGATTGCTATCTAAGTCCGTGCTAGAATTGACCATTTTCAGCCAGTAATTAAACTTGCTTAATTATTCTGTTACCTCATGATTTCATCATGAAGAACAACTAAAAAGACGATTGGCAATTTGACACTCTAAAGTGTTCTTTTTTAGCTCACCTGGCCCGAAGGGCCAAGTGAGCTTATGGCATGGTGCGGCGTCCGTCGTCAACATTTTACTTTAAACAACTTCTTCTCAGTAACCATAAGGCCTAGGGTGATGATATTTGGCCAGAAGCATGCTGGGATGAAGGGCTACCAAGTTTGTTCAAATACATGACCTTGACTTATATTCTAGGTCACAGGGGTCAAATATGTTTAAAACATTTAAACAACTTCTTCTGAATAACCAATAGGCCTTGGGTGCATAAATTTGGCCAGTAACATGCTGGGATAAAGGGCTACCAAGTTTGTTCAAATAAATGACATTGATTTATATTCAAGGTCACAGGGGTCAAATATGTTTAAAACATTTAAACAACTTCTACTGAATAACCAAGAGGCCTAAGGTGGTGATATTTGGCCAGTAGCATGCTGGGATGAAGGGCTACCAAATTTGTTCAAATAAATGACCTTCATCCATTTTCAAGGTCACAGGGGTCAAATATGTTTAAAACCTTTAAACAACTTCTTCTGAATAACCAAAATGCCCGGGGTGATGCTATTTGGCCAGTAGCATGCTGGGATGAAGGGCTACCAAGTTTGTTCAAATGAATGACCTTGACCAACTTTCAAGGTCACAGGTGTTAAATGTCTTAAAATCTTCAAACAACCTCTTCTCAATAACCAAAAGGCCCAGGGTACTGATATTTGGCCTGTAGCAATCAGGGCTACCAAATTTGTTCAAATTAATGACCTTGTATTAATGTATTGTGTAGTTTATTATATCGCTCTATGTATTGTGTAGTTTGTTATATCGCTATATGTATTGTGTAGTTTATTATATCCCTCTATGTATTGTGTAGTTTATTTTATCGCTATATGTATTGTGTAGGTTATTATATCCCTCTATGTATTGTGTAGTTTATTTTATCGCTATATGTATTGTGTAGGTTATTATATCCCTCTATGTATTGTGTAGTTTATTATGTCGCTCTATGTATTGTGTAGTTTATTATATCGCTATATGTATTGTGTAGTTTATTATATCGCTCTATGTATTTTGTAGTTTATTATATCGCTCTATGTATTGTGTAGTTTATTATATCGCTATATGTATTGTGTAGTTTGAGTTTGTCAGATGAAACTTGATGAACTAAGTAACCTGTCTATATCAAACCCAGAACAATCAGAAAGCTGGTATAATTACTAGACATTCAGAGATGTGTATTGATCTCTGTGTAGTATCAGAATAGTATAGCATGACGTATACCTAGTGTAAGTACATTAGTGCCAGTACCGGGGATCTCCTTGGTTTGTAGAATTGTAAGATTGATTTGGAGTTCTGAGAAATGCAAGTTGGAAACACGAGTTGTTGGAATTGTAGAAGTTCCCCTTGATGTTGTTAGAATGAGTCAATGCCACTGTGAGGAGTTAACAGATCCTGATTGCTGCTTAATGTTGTGGTGTACATAGATACGTGGATGTAGTGGACCTGAAGCTTGCCTGAGATGGTGCAGCTTCTGTCTGTCAGGAAAATTTTGTTTAAACAGCTGATCTACAGAACCTAAAAGCCTTGACACATTATATATATTTCTTTGCTTGCTCAGGTGAAGGGCTTTGAAGTTTGTGCAAATAAATGACCTTGACCTTGAGGTAAAAGGGGTCAAATGTTTTTAAAATGAAAACAGCTTCAAAAGAACCATGGAGCTTAATTAACTTGTGTTATTTTTAAGACGTTTCTACAATAACTACAGATGAAACATGTAGCAGAGATAAAAGAAAGTTAACTTCTTTTAAAAAGGATGTCTTTCTAAAATTATTGTGATATATCAGCTTGCTGAGGTAAAGACTTGATAGCTTTGAATACATATTTATCTATATTTATGTAAATAAACAGCCAATGTAACTAACGTTTATGATGACTCGGATGTATGAAAAACATGTTTTGCTTTACACAAATGATGTATTAGAGTAATAGTATTTAGTATCATATATTTGGCATAAACAGGGATGATAAATGCAAATAGATTTAGATCTGGTCTTTTGGTTCATCAGTGGTGTGCCAATGAGACAATTATGTCTATCTAGTTTCAAAAGAAGACATGACCAGACAACATCAAATGGGCAAATGGGGAGCTCGGCAAATGTAACCAGTTGACACATTTCAGCCAACTATAGGTGGTCCGCCATCAGAACAACGTACAGTTGTCAAAAGACATCTAAATTTAAAGAACAAAGCGATGTCCTGCATATAGTGACAAACAACAAACTGTATATAGTTAAATAGAACAATAGTTAGATAGAACAATGATGTTATAGTAAATAGTTAAATAGAACAATAGTTAAATAGAGCAATAGTTAAATAGAACAATGATGTTATAGTAAATAGTTTAATAGAACAATAGTTAGATAGAACAATAATGTTATAGTAAATAGTTAAATAGAACAATAGTTAAATAGAGCAATAGTTAAATAGAACAATGATGTTATAGTAAATAGTTTAATAGAACAATAGTTAGATAGAACAATGATGTTATAGTAAATAGTTAAATAGAACAATAGTTAAATAGAGCAATGATGTTATAGTAAATAGTTAAATAGAACAATAGTTAAATAGAACAATGATGTAATTGTAAATAGTTAAATAGAACAATGATGTAATTGTAAATAGTTAAATAGAACAATAGTTAAATAGAACAATGATGTTATAGTAAATAGTTAAATAGAACAATAGTTAAATAGAACAATGATGTCATAGTAAATAGTTAAATAGAACAATGATGTTATAGTAAATAGTTAAATAGAACAATGGTGTTATAGTAAATAGTTAAATAGAACAATAGTTAGATAGAACAATGATGTTATAGTAAATAGTTAAATAGAACAATAGTTAAATAGACCAATGATGTCATAGTAAATAGTTAAATAGAACAATGATGTTATAGTAAATAGATAAATAGAACAATGATGTTATAGTAAATAGTTAAATAGAACAATGATGTTTTAGTAAATAGTTAAAATGTCTGTGAAAAGATGGTGTAAGTATTCGCAGGTGTTGTGGAATAGGTAGAAATGATGGAATGGCATGTAAGTATAAAGTTTCATTTAGTCTGGAATATTCTTAAGCCAAGGCCAGACTCAATATTTGGAAATATTTGCAAAAGTGTTTTTATTGAGAATATTTCTCCATGATTGCTCAAATATCTAAGTGAAAGATACAGGCCCTCTGGGCCTCTTGTTGTAAAAACTTTCGAATCCCACAATATGGTACTGTTGTATAATGTAGATTTGGTACTTGATAAAAAGGGTGAGTGAGTGTGTCAAGATTTTCCTACCTCTACAGTCTTTTTGTGTATATGTAGGGTGTTACCTCAGTGTGTGTCGGTAGTCGTCTTGTAAAATTGTCTTTGTAATTTCCAGAACTCTTTGGAACAACAGTAAATTATCAAAATTGAGCTTCAATTAAATTCCATAAAATGAATGTTGACGGTAATTATTATTTACGAGTGCTCACAGTACTGGACTTCTAATCAAAAGGAAGCGAAGTACCTAGGAAATGTTTGTATATTAGAAAGTGGTGAGTCATTCTGTCATAAAGTCCAGTACATCCGAATCTGTCGGGTATATCATTACAGGTAACAATTAACAGGTAAGATGTTCGGCAGATGGACGATTCCTTAGTGTTTCAAAAGCTTTGAAATAATTCATAAAATATAAGATGTATGTCAGAATAAATTAAGAATCCTGTCACATCTGTTTTTCAGTTAAGGAAAGCCTACTTCAGTCAGATGGAGGAAATCAAAAGTCTTAAAGAACAGATAACTCTAAAAGACAAGCGTATTCGGTTGCTTGAAGAGGAGATTGCAACTATGAAGAAACCTCGCTGTGGTCCGGGTGAAAGTGATTGCTGACACGATACCTCTGGATCTGATACACTGTCAGGTAGTAGTGTGATGAGAACACTACTGGCAAACTTGATTTTATATAACAATGGCCCATCATTGTGAATGGTGAGTCTTAGCCAGATATGTGATCACAATAGTAAACTTGGATTGTCTCCCCTTATTTCAAAGGCCTGATGCAAGGGTCCCCTTCATAATAATGATATGCAGCATTTATGTAGACCTATATTATGTAATCTACACAGTTATACAACAGGCTCTGTACAGTACACTTATAGTTATACTCCAGGCTCTGTACAGTACACCTATAGTTATAGTTATACTCCAGGATCTGTACAGTACACCTAGAGTTATACTCCAGGCTCTGTACAATACACCTAGAGTTATATTCCTGGCTCTGTACAGTACACCTATAGTTAAACTCCAGGCTCTAAACAGTACACCTATAGTTATAGTTATACTCCAGGCTCTGTTCAGTACACCTATAGTTATACTCCAGACTCTGTAAAGTACACCTAGAGTTATACTCCAGACTCTGTACAGTACACCTAGAGATATACTCCAGACTCTGTACAGTACACCTATAGTTATAGTTATACTCCAGGCTCTGTTCAGTACACCTATAGTTATA